GTGAGACTCCAACTCAAAAAAAAAAAAAGAGTATGAAGTAGAGGCGAAGTGGTTATTAGTTGCCAGTTAGAGGCTTTTTATGTTGTTGTTGGAGTCTCACTCTGCCACCCAGGCTGGAGTGCAGTGGCATGCTCACAGCCTCCGCAGCCTTGACCTGCTGGGCTCAGGCAATCCTTCTACCTCAGCCTTCCCAGTAGTTGGAACTACAGGCATGTGCCTCCATGCCCAGCTAATTTTTGGATTTATTGTAGAGGTGAGGTCTTGCCAAGTTGCCCAGGCTGGTCTTGAACCCCTGGGCTCAGGCGATCCTCTTGCCTCTGCCTCCCAAAGTGCTGGGATTACAGGCATGAGTCACTATGCCTGGCAGAAGGCATTTCTAAAAGTCCTAGAGAGAAATAAGAAGAGTCTCAACCAAAGCGATGGTGATGGGGATGGAGAGAAAGGGTGAATCTGTGAGAAATGTAGGATGTAGAACTGAAGGGACTTGGTAATGGATTAGATGCTGTGTGTGAGGTGATGGGTGGGTGATGAGAGGTAGGTGATGTCCAAAATGATTCTGAGGTCTCCATCTTGTTTGCCTGGATGGCAGGTGGGGAAGGTGGCACCATTCACTATGATAAGGAAGTCTGGACAAGAACCAGATGATGACAGCCAGGTGGACATGCCTATGTCAGTTGGTCTGGGAGTTGGAAGGAAGTCTGTGAGGGAGACAGAACTTGGCCTTGGAGGGTGTACATGGGCTCTTATGGAGAGAGAGAACATGTGGCAGAGGATAAGGACAGCAAAAGCAGAAGAGAGGGTGACAGTCGGAGCCCTAGAATCATCATTTAAAGAACAGGTGGAGGAGAAAGAGCTCACTGAGGAAAACGAGAAAGAAAAGTAGGATTAAGTGACAAGAGCATAAAGACATGAGAGCTATTAATAGAAAGAGTGTTGAAGAGGGTGGGAGTGGTCACCTGCATATAGTGCTGCTGTGAGGTTAAGAAAGATGAACAGGAGATTTAACCATTCCGCATGCAGACTTCAATATGTCATATTTTACACCGGAATGCATACAATTTTACCTTAAAATTCTAAAAAACAAATATATAAGAAAGAAGAGCACTGAAAAGTGCTCTTTTATTTGGGACTTGTCAATAATTGGTGTCTCAGCAGAGGCATTTAGTCATTCATCATTCACCGAATACTTATTAAGTGATTTAATAGGAAACTAGTAAGAGGCAACCACGTGTAAGGTCATTTAATTTCATCACTATGGGAAATTCTGGAAGAAAATGGGTTTGAAGGGGAAGCTCTGTTTGGATGCATTATTACTAGTTTTAGAAAGTCACCACAGCTAGCATGTGTGCTAGGATGAATGGCAGGGCTACAATATTGTAGAGGAGTAGAATAAAAATTATTTATGAGCTGTGTTTAAATCAAAGAAAACAGGCCAAGGTTTTCATGAACATCAATAAAGCTTTATAACAATACAATTCATTATCACTGTTTGGATTAATATTGTAATAATTACACACTTTTTACATTGTGAAAATAAGTCATAAATAGTGTAAAAATAATTCTGAAGATCAACTTCTCACAAACTAGGGACCATGAAAACAAGTTTAAAAAGCAAATGAAAACAAATTACAAACTGAACATAATGCAATTATCTCCAAACTGCAAATCAAAAACTTCATGCGTCTTTTGATTCAGTAATGTCAATTGGAGAAATTACAGTGAAATTGAAATAAGAAATCAAACAGAGAGAATTAAATCTTTAAATTATTTACACTATTGATTTAAACTGGTTTGTGCCATATTTACAGTGATAAGACACAACACATTCTTAGAATAATCAATTACATGAGACTGGCTCACAAACACTTAAAAAAAAATATGCAGTGTAATGCTTGCCAAAAAAATTTTTTTTCATTTTCTACTTATTTTGTATTTATGTGAATTTTTTGGCAATATAAAAATAGCTGCACATAGAGATGAACTTTAAAATGTAAAAAATACAAATAAAAATATAATATTTTCTAAAGAAAAATCAGATACATACATCTTTTAAAAATGTTATTAAGTTGAATGAAACATTTACAACAGTATAAAGAATATTCACATAAATGTCAACCATGTGTAAGACATTCTTTTGTGAATCCAATTTATTTATATTTCTGGGATGTGTGAGAGTTATCAACTGCATTTTGACAAATGTTGGCATTTTCTTTGTTAAGTTGTCAATAAATCATACATAATGGTTCAGGTTGAAAAAGTCTTCCTATTCCCAAAAGGACAGTTCTGTCAATAAGCAGCATAGGCAATTTTATGCATTTAAATATATATTTTAGTGAAAAATACCATTAATATGTTTATTAGTATTTGATTAGCAAAAAACAAAATTCAGTAAAAATTTAAGTTAGAGAAGTGTCTCTAAGTATGTTAATTCCGCCAGAGATGTATAATTTGAATAGCAGAATCACATGTAATTGTTTTACTTACTATTTTTGGAAAGATAAGGTTCTTATGGATATTTGACTTCCTAGAGATAGCAGTGTTTAGATGTTGTTTAGGAATTAGAAGGCCTATTTTTTAGTAGTGTGGAATATCAATATAATTTGATGATCAAGAAATAAAGTAAATCAGGGTTTCAGATGTAAGCATCTATATGTTCCTTATGATCACTTGGAAGATGTTAAAACACTATCACACAGGAACAGTCCAATTCTGAGTAAGACACTATATAGTGGTGAAAAAAACAAATGATATTAGCTTTTTATGCTTCAATAGTAACATTTTTTTAAAAATTAGAAATTAAGCACATTTCCCAGGCAATATAAATATAAAATACCAAGGATAATTTTTCCATAGGTGCTGACATGCTGATTAGACCATTTTCTAAACTAACTGATATATATATATATATATATATCAGTTAGACCAAAGACATGTGTAAGTTCTTGACTGTTCCATTAAAACATCATGTACACAGACTGCAAGTTCAAACACAAAACCTTCCTTCTAGAAGAAATTAAAGATATTCTTACATGCTCTATAAAATCACATGAGAGAGGAAAATCCTCCAAGACTGCTTTTGCTAATGAGTAATGAAGACTGAAAGAAAAAGTTAGGCCTATTTGTGCCCTAGGTACTTTACATGGTATGTGCAGACTTCTCTAACACTGGTTTTCCATGTTTCATCAAATCACAGAAACTAAAAGACGAGTGAATGGAAAAGAGGAGACGAACGAAAGTTGATAAAGGCCTATGATGTGTGACATGAATGTTAAATCAGGAGATCCAAGATCCGAGTAAACACACATCAGTTACAAGTACACTGTTTTGTTTTATGTTAAGAAAGACTGCTTACTGAACCCTAACTATAGCAAATTCATGAACTTTAAAAATAAAATCACACACTAATGATTTAGGAATGCTATTAAACAGAAAAATGAAATTATCCATAGTAGTTGCATTGTCCACAAGAAAAAAAGAAAAGAAATACATTAGCACCCACCAACATGAATGGAAAACAACTTTAAACCTAAAACACCTATCAATTTGGCATCTTTCAAAGATGTCTTATCAGAAATAGGAATTGACCTTGCCTTATTTCCAATGTGTCTTTCATGTGGCATTTTCTCATCTCTCTATCCAATAATATAAATTACAAGAAATAAATCTTTACAGAAAATATTTTACCTAACAACAACAAACATAATTATCAACAAACATAATTCATGAGTTCATTTAGAAATGATGTGAAGATTCTCTATACTGATGACAAAATGGATGCTTGAAAATATTTTGGCAACCAGAAAGTTAAGATTATCCATGGTGGTTAAGACCTAGCAATTCCACTGAACAAGAAGTATCATCATCCTTTTGTTTTTCTCAAGGGAATAAATGTAATGAATGTTTACAACTTCCTTTAGTTGTGAAATAAGTCAATGTTGTCAAATCAGTTATAAAGCACAAACTCAATACACAAATAGGATGGAAAAGCATTCTATAATAAAGGACTGTGTTAAAAATATTTTTTATACATGGAGTGTTTTTCTTTTGATGTTGAGGTATTCTCTTCTGAAGCTGTGTGAGTTTTAAATAGTGATCCATTCCAATACCTCTTTCTACTATAGGAGTAGAAAGAAAGATAGAAAGAAAGAAATATAGTCACCAGACGTTTCTCAAGATATTCTAGTTTGTTTTCCTGAAGAAAGTGTAGTTATACCCACTTCAGTTCATTTTTCCAAACTGTTTAAGACAAATTGTTTCAGACATTGAGCAGTACTTTGTCCTAACACCATGTCATATAAAAAGTTGTTAGAAAATGTCCTCCATTATTTAAAAAATGGTAAATTGACTTAGGGGTATGGAATGTTACTTCCAATTGGACTGGTCTAATAGTTTAAACATCTCTCTAGCCTTGAAAAAGTAATTGAAAAAAATATCATTTTTTTATAGACTGATCGTTTGGTTATAAAAGAGACCATAAGGACCTCAGGATACTGGTCTTATATCTTAACAGTTGTTACCATAAGACAATGATGACCTGATTTCCCCTCTGGTGGTGAAAACCTATGCATGAAACTAGAAATTTTCCCACAAAATGGCAGTGAGACAAACGAAATGCACTAATGGGCAGAAAAGGTGACTCCTCCTCATTGTGTTTCTCCTATTGTAGCCTTTCCACTTAGAAGAAGCCATTTCAAAACATGCTGTCAACTCTTTACTGTGCAAAGAAATGCTCAGCCTAATGTGGCTAGGTAATTTTTGAGCAAGTAGATGACAATCACTCTTTATGGCAACTATATTTCACAGCTTTCTGAGATCTCAGATTTGGTCTGTGGATAAGAGGATAAGACAAACATTCAGAAATATATATATATAAAAGAAATCTAAATATAGACAAAACTTAGAACCATAAGGAATAGAAATTAGTTAATATTATTAAATGTGACAAAATCTTGGCTTTATATTAACTGATAATCTCTATGTATGTTACATTCATCATGTAATTCATCATGTAAAAAATCTCAGAAAGTACTGAAAAAAATGCTTAACTTTGATGCTTTACAATGATTAACGTGAAAGAGGAGCTTCTTCTATATTCTCTTCAATTGTCCAAAACAAGAGTACAAGGTGGAGTCAAATCATTTTGATTTGAAGACTTTCCCTTAAAAAATTGTTCAAAACAGATGTTACAAAAACTAAAACAAATCTTTTCTAAATATTCCTGGGACTAAGAAAAGAAAAAAAGTATGAGAAAGAATAGAAAATATCTTTCTGTTTCAAGAACTTTGTAGAAAATGTCTGATATAGGTTAGATGTTAGAAGGAAGAACAGCTCTCACATCAACTTTGGTAGAGAATGTACCAGCAAGCTCCCCCACATCTTCAGGAGAGGTGGGTTTTGGCCAACCTGTTCTCGGAACATGTTATTTCTTCAGCATCCTGAGCTCGGTGGGATGTACATACCCTTTTTCCTCAGGTTCAGGGGCTGTCATTCCAAGAACCGCCTATTTCAAAAGGAGTGCTGTATGCCTCTGTCATTTTCCAAAAGCACCCATATTAACACTTGCTGGAATTAAGTTTATTAAAAAAAAAAAAAAAGTCTGCAGTTCTGGGTGTTTGCCTTTGTAAACCTCTTTCCCACTTGGTCACATGAGACACAGCGCTGGAGGCTAAACCCGTCCTCTTCTGGTGTCTTCACTGCCAAAGGCAGCACAAGGAAAACTGGTGCCAGCAACAGGCTCAATCAACCCCTTGATATTTTAACCAAGATGGTCACACGAGCCCACAATACTGGAAGTTGTGTCTGCAGTTGGGACTACAACTCCCTCAAAATATAAAACAAATGTATGTGTGCTCTCCACCACCTTATCTCTTTTTGGCAATAAGCCACGGTGTGACCCCCTTGGGATGACAAAAGAAATAAAAGCTCAGATGTAATCAGAGGACTCTCGATCAGCATGCTAGCATCTGAAGTTGCACAGCAAGCAGGTTTGGCACACAGTCATGCTTTTTTAGTCAGTTTCAATGGGCAATGTGGGCATGAATCAATGCGAATAGGAAAGGTGAATGGGAACGCGACAATAAACACTGACATCAGTCAGTATGGTACTTTTTCATAGCTTTGAGTCCATATTTGGCCACAATTTCATGTAAACTATTTCATGGCACTTTTTGTCCATGCAATTAACAAGCCCAAAGTAAGAAAATAGCAAGTACAATCATTCTCTATCACTGATTTGTCCATATAAATACATATCTTCACATAAGATAAAGAGATACCGATCTATTTTTTTTTTTTGCAGACTTCTGACTGGTTTCACAAAATTGCCCAATTTCAGATGTAAGTGGAGAAAAGATGGACATGTTTTCTACTGCCAACAGAAAGAAGCAGCCCTGTGTAAACATATCTCAGACTTGTAAAATCTGCAATTTGGTTTTCAACTATAAATATAAAAAGTGAACCATTATATACACAACTTCATGCTCGGAAGGTTAGATTCATCACTGCAGAAAAATAGACAACAAAAAAGACAAATACATGGAATTAGTAGTCTTGGAGAAAATTTAAATTAACATTCATTTTAAGGAAACCGGTAGAACCTTGAGTAGAGTCTTTTTATCAATAAGCAATTGATTATCTGATTTGTGTCTCATGCATTACTTTTCTAAACTCCAGTATGTCATGACAATTTAAATCTTAGGTTTAACCCACATTTTTCTTTTGCCACAGAGGATTTTGAGGGTGTTTTGCTCTGAGAAAGCAGAAAATTAGGATTTTATCATGTATGTGCCATCATTATAATACATTTTATATCTGTAACTTACATAATTTTTTCCAAGCATTACAACACAACTGTGGAAAAGACTGGGAGGATTCTGACCTCAGTAATGTTATTTACTGCACCAACACCTTACAGTACTATTCTACACTCCTTCGATTCTTGGTTTCCCTTTCCTTTTGCTGGCCCTGCCCAGGTGTGATGTACATGGTATACCTGCCTGCTATAAGCTTCAGACTGTATTACAGATTGTGTTCTGAGCTACGGAACCACAGATCTTTGGTTCCTCACTTTGAGTAGCCATAATTACCAAGGTTTTCCTAGAATTGAAGTTAAGTCTGAAAGATCTGAGGAACAGTGGTCTTTGAGGTGTAAGCTTGTAGAGCAGATCTTAGAGTCTTCTTTGATGTCTACTCAAAGAAAAAACAGAAAAGGAGAGTGTACAAAGGAGAATGATCGCGGTCTCTTCCTCCACCCTCCACAATGGTGACCAATCCATCGTCATCTTTCAGTTTAGTAATTAAAAAACACGTGTTTTTCTCTATCCAAGAAAAATCGATGCTCTACCAGGTGTGCTTAGGAGGCTGGGACCCATATGATCTTCAGAGGTGAAGTTCACTCAATGTCCAACTCCGAACTGTCACTTATCTCAAATTTCAAATCTGATTCAGTTTTGGGTGCTATAACCAGTGTTTTATAATGTAAATAATTTTAAAGATTCTTATTTTTTCCTCATATTTTAAAACTTCATTTAAAAGTGTGTTACTTTGCTTTAGGAACACTCTGCTGTAAGCCCTACCCGAAAAAATAAAATTTAATGAAACATTTAATGAGGGTATGATACTCTAGAGCAAGCCTATCAGTGGATGAAGATGGATGATAAGCTTAATAGCCTGTAGGTATTTTCTTAAAAATTCTGCCATTTATATGCTATATGAATTACACTGTGACTGGTATAGCATTTTACTTGAGTTCTAGATTAGCAATGCTTCTTGGGTTGACACATTTAGAAAACTAAACTATATCTAGAGAAAAGGAATTAAAACAAATGTTAAACGGTTTTGCATGAGAAATTAGTATTGAGAGTCGCATGACCAAGAGGACTTGCTAATTAATCACAGTGATTTCCACTGCTGCCACCATTTGAGTTTTAAGTCAAACATTCGCCACCGTGTTTTATAGCCACATAAACACAACGGTGTTTAATAGGGTGATCCACATCAAATAGGTATCACTAAAAGCAACCCACTGAACTTGGTTTAAAAATATAATTTAAAAAATCATTTTATTTGACTATTTGAAATAGCTAAATTGACCACATAAGAAATTTGAGAAAATTTCATTTTTTCCCCAATTATTTCTTTCCTTTTTTGGAGGGATAGGGTGGGAGAGGCTGGTCAGAATGGTTTGCATTTGTGTGTGTTGGGGGTTGTGGTAAGCAATACTAACATTTGATCATTTAGTTATTCTTTACATGAAAACATACTAGATTCATGCAGTCCTTAATCATATGTAGCATAGATATAGTGTCTATTCTATCGAAAAATGTGTATTTAAAAGAGAGATTTCTGGCCTTGTGCAGTGGCTCACAGCTGTAATCCCAGCACTTTGAGAGGCCAAGGCGGGAGGATTGCTTGAGCCCAGGGATTCGAGACCAGCCTGGACAACATAGCAAGAACTTGACTGTACAAAAAATAAAAAAATTAGCCAGGCATGGTGGCACACACCTGTAGTTCCAGCTGCTTGGGAGGCTGAAGTGGAAGGATCGTCTGAGCCCAGGAGGTCAAAGCTGTGGCGAGCCATGATCAAGCCACTGCACTCCAGTCTGGCTGACGGAGTGAGACCCTGACTCAAAAATGAATAAAGAAATAAAAAGGGAAATTTCTGATTTCCTAAAGCTATTCATATTCTTGCAAGGTTTGACTATTTTATGAACCAAAAGACAGTCCTTTGTTATCATTAATATGATATCCTTAACAAAAAGGGAGCAATTCAGAGGCAGCCCAAGTTCTGAATCCAAATTCTAAGTAATGTCAGAAGGCTGAATGAAGTAAGCCTTTTGCATTTCCTCTGATGTAAGGTGTGCTAATGACTAGATTAAAAAATCATTATACTATTAGCTTACAGGCAAAGGTTAGGGAGTAGAAGGTAATTCCAGCTCAGGACGGTATTAAAGATTCTGTGAACGGGGGTTATGACAGGGAAAGGATAGTTTTCTCAGGTGAAGAAGAACGTGATGATAGGTCCATCTTGCTGAGACCCGCTTGACCCCAGATGTGATCCAGTTAATTATCTGACAGGCTGAAAGCGGAGGATAGGAAGCTACTAAATAAATGACACTTCTGAGAGGAAAGGTTTTTCTTTCCCTGGCCAAGTAGGTGAAACTACTTAAGAGAGTGAGTTACACAGGATTTCCTCACCAATGGAGTTGCTGAGGTGAGTGTCTCCTCATCTTTCTGCATTCCTTCAGTTTTGCTATAACTGTACCCATCAAGCATGCCTGTCCAAAAGGACTGAACAAGCCACAAGGTGATGGAGAAATAAATTCAAAATGATCAAAGCAGCTTGCATCCTCCCCACAGCTCATTTTTTAAAAATTTTATTTTATTATGGAGATGTGGGGAACCAGTGAGGATTAACTACATAAGTAGGTTGCATGCAGGTGAAGTTTGGGCTTCTAACTGGACCTCACTCTTCCTGGTAGTGGACCAGGTACTCTTTGTGTTGTCATGTGTCTCCCATCCTCCTCCATCTCTCCCTCCCCTGGCAGAGCCCAGTGACTGCCAATCCCTCTCTTATGCTACTGTGACTAATGTTCAAGGCCCACCAATGAGTGAAAACGTGCAGTATTCAGTTGTTTCTGTGGTAGTTCGCTTAGTATGATGGTCTCCAACGCCATCCAATTTGCTGCGAAGATTATGATTTTATTCTTCTTTGTGGCTGCATAACACTCCATCATGAATATGTACTACATTTTCTTAAACCAGTTCATTTTTACATTCATGAAGTTCATTTATCCTTCAGTAACATGTGCACAGTCCTTTATAATTAGGTCCCCACCATTCCTGTATAAAGTTTGGTATTCCATAAACAATCCAGCTCACAGATCTCTTCCCTGCTTAAAGTCCTGTCATTGCTTTCTGTTTTCTGTCTCTCTAGCTCTACTACATGCCAACTCCGTGCTCTTGAAAGGTCCTTAACCTCTCTGAATCTCAGTTTCCTCATCTACACCACTGAGGATAAGAAGACGTTACAGGGTTGTTGTGCAGATTAAATGAAATAATATTCCCTTCATGAAAGGGTTAATCATTGTATACAGAAGGCTCTCTGTAAAGGATAAATCACCTTACTTACTGAATACATACACAGTGACTATGGATAGTTGTATGAGGAGGCTAGAATAAACTGTATCTTAAAGGACAGCACTTAAATTTAATCAAGTTCTCCTAAATAAATCAAAACATCATTTTTTTTTAAAAGTTTGGCTTATATTTTCTGCTTTCTCAACTCTGTGCCTAACATTGACAGGGTTCTACCATGTATTAGCATGTTTGTCTAAGTAATTGAGTGTAAATAGGAAAGAATCACAATTAAGAATAGTTTAAACAGTAGTAGGACAAGGAGTTTATTGAAAGACAAGCTAAAACATGATCAAGAGGCACTGCCCCTTTCCATTCCAAAGACAGGATTAGATAAGGAAGTTTCCAAATTATGTTTGCCAAGAATTGTTTTTACTCATCAGCTGAAGGAGAAATCAGCAGTAAATATGTAAATCAAAAGATATTCTGGAGACAAACCATTTTGCTTTTTAATACTCAAACAACTTTCAGGAATGTAAAATTCAAAAGATCTGTTCTGAATGGAAAAGGCTAGGCCCGGTTAAGAGAAAGGGAGAGTGCTTATTTTTAGAGATAATTCGGTACAGCCTACCTTTTGCCAACAGCCAGGCATGGGTAATCCATCAGGTCCCTGTTTTAAAGGGAAGAAAAAGAATTCCTCAGGCTCCACAACAGTGGTCAAACTTCCTAAGTCACATGCTCAGAGGCTTCTACAATAGATTTTTTACCCATTAGAAGGTTTTGGTCATAGGCATCTTTTACTAATGGGCAACTTCCAATATATTACCCAGTGTTCGTTAAAATGAAAAAGATTCAAATGTTTTTCTGAGTACACATTTTGAAAATACATAAAGTATAAAAAAGTTATGCCTAATTTTGAAAAAGCAATTTACAAGGCATAATGGTCTATTATTCATAGATAAACCTCTACATAATAAATCTGTTTTATTCCTTCTAATTTTATTAAAACACATCTCACAACGATTTCTATTAAATGAGTAAAATAACTTCTCTTCCTGGTCACTATGGGCTGTGACTGAATCCATGATGATGATGAATAATCAATGATAAACCATTTCCATAAAAGGTTATAGCTCTTCACATGCTAGTGTTTTTCACTTTTCTATATTGAAAATAAATATAGTACAACATATTTAATTGAATTAAAAGACAGGCAGCCTATCTATATGTTTATATACAGCATTATCCACAGTATTTGTCAGTTTTTTAATTTAAATTCTTCAGAATTCAGTCAACAAATTCTGAATACAGCAAAGAGGTTCTAAAATAAAGAGTTGAAATATTTTAATGTACTGTATCAGCATTCTTCAGATACAAATGATACAAATAAAGCAGGAAGAGTTGGTATATATGAAGGCATGCTTGTATTCTCCCCAACAAAATGATTATAAAATATGATTTATCATCATACCAAGCAAAGTAAAAGACTAGGCTATAATTATTGATGGAATAAAATTTTAAAAATAAATACAATCTCTTAAAAGACTTGAGAAATATAAATGTATTTTTAAAGAATCATGCTTACAACTAAAGAATAATCTACAAACATGCAAACCAGTATAACCATCGACACAACAATTTTCCTTTACACCTCAGAAAATATGAATATGCTGTTTTTAATGTTTAAAAAACCTTTTAAATAGCTTTGTAAAACATTTGGGAAAAAATAGTAATGCCAGATTGGTACAAGGAGAAGGATCAACCAATAGAATTTTAGATTTTAGTATCAGGAGGATTTTGAGTTCATGCCAATGGAAATAAGGGAGTTTTGTCTATTTTAGGAATGTGAGTTTCAAAAGGAGAGACCATTACATTGAAAAGGTTATGTGATAAAGAAGAGGGTTTGGGCTGCAGACTACTATCATCTTTAGAAGCGCAGAGAAGTTTGGTCTACTTCCCTATGGTCTCTTAAAAGCATTCCCTTGAATTGCTTAACTCTTGACCACAGAAACTTAATTCTGCAGGTTGGTTCTTATTTACAGCCTGACAGAAGTTTAGTGGAAAAGGCAAAAATATCTTTTGTTGTTGTTTGAGACAAAGTCTCATTCCGTCTGTTACCCAGGCTGGAGTGAAGTGGCACGATCATGGCTCATCTCAGCTTCCTGGGCTCAGGTTATACTTCTGCCTTAGCCTCCTTATAGCTGGGATGAAAGGCGTGCACCACCATGCCCAGATAATTTTTTAATTTTTTTTTTTTTTTGTAGAGATGAGGATTTGCTATGTTGCCCAGGCTGGTCTGGAACTCCTGGGCTCAAGCCTCTGCCTCCCAAAATGCTGGGATTACAGGAGTGAGCCACTGTGCCTGGCCATACCTTTATTTCTTTTAGAGAAAAAGAAAAAAAAGTTAAACTTAGGGATAAAACCAAAAGTTTTGACCTAGCGTTGCCTTTGTGTCAAATATTTCTATATAATTTAAATTTAATCTTTGAATATTTATTAAATAAATGAACATTCCAAGGAACACAGAAATGGTGGTCATGTCAGTTGTCAGGACATCAGGAGATTAATTTGCAGTCATTGATAGAAACACGTGCTTGCTCTCTTACTCTGCAGAGAATGACAGAAGGAGCTTATTCATGCACATGCATGTCATATGTTTAGCATGTAAAGCTTGCTCCAGAAAGCACCACTTTACACTGACAGAGATGAATATGTAATCAACAAAGGAACTGCATGCAGGGTGGTAGGAAAGAGAAATACTGTACCAATTGGCAAGGGGCATCCAGCCCATCCAGGCCAGGCTGGCCTGGCTCCCCTTTTTCCCCCTTAACGCCACGGAATCCCTGTTTGTAAAGATTAACTCATAAAGTTACTAACACAAGAAATCACTTCAGCACAAATTCTGCTAAAGAAATAACTATAGCAACAAAAGGCCAGGAGAGGAGCAACTCTGTAGGGAAAAGTAACATTCGGTGAAAATGGACAAAATAAAATGGAGCTAAGGCATGTTCCTTTCAGAAGGGCTTGTCTGAAAATGGTGGCCTTCTGTCCTTAGGGCTATGGAATACAGCTGGGTCCTCTTCAGATCCCACATTCAGGTTCCAGCTGCATCATGATACTCTAGGGTTAAGAAGCCAGGTGGAGGTAGTGGCCAGAGACAAGATTGGAATGCATGAGGATAACCTGAGATAGATGTCTCTGGCTTTCTTTTCTCTTTCTTTCTTTCTTTCTTTTTTTTTGAGTGGAGTCTCACTCTGTTGCCCAGACAGCCTCAACCTGCTGGGCTCGAGCCATCCTTCTGCCTTAGCCTTCTGAGTAGCTGGAAATATAGGCCCATGCCGCCACCCCACTAATTTTTGTATTTATTGTAGAGACAAGGGTCCCCCCCAAGGTTTCTGACATCTTAAAGCCTGTGTTAGCTGATCCCGATGAGAAACCCTGCTGTTACAGTTCCTCCAGTTTGCTCCTCTCCCATCTCACCCCTATACACATGGCATCTGGAGGCAGTTCCACGAGTCAGACATACCAACGGGCAGGGGGCATCTAATCCAGGCGCACCCTGTTCTCCTTTCTCCCCTTTAGGCCCCTTTTTGCCTTTCTTTCCCTTTTCCCCCTGTGGATACAAGGGTTTAAATAAAAGACAGATTTTATTTGGGGGGGAAATCACGGTCATTCAAAAGATGGCTTAGCTAAGAATATTCTGGAAGGACATTTACCACTGTTTTCTGGTTTAGTAAGGCATGATATTATTTTTAAAACTAACTTACACTTTCAGAGCGACAATGGCTTCAGGGCAGCGGTATGTGGGATTTTATTTAAGATAGTCAGCCAGATGGAAGAAGAGACTTAAAGGCCAACACATCAGAAAGGAAGCTCAGTGCTGACTTAAATCACAATGTCATAATCATTAGTTGTTTGTGTCATGGATCCCATGAGGATGGTGGGTACCAATTGTATTGAAGCCAGCCAGTAGCAGGTGAAGTTCAGGGGAATAATAGATACTCCGTCCAGTTTTCAATACCTGTCAACTTCCTCTTTTTCTAATCCTAAAACACATGAAAGCTACATAGAAGCAGAGGAAAAGGACAAAATATTAACAACATCTACATATTTCTTTGAAATGTATCCAATTTTCTATGACTGTAGCTCTCATTCAAAAATATTCAGTGTATTAAAAAATGCTTCTATTTCTTTTAACTTTTTGAAAAAGAAACTAAAAAAAATACTGTCCTTATTAAGTCAGGCAAACACACGTTAAAAGTGCTAATACTTGCAGGGTTGCCTACTGGAGAAACAGGCTTATTTACAAACCTAGGGATTTTCTTTAATTCACTCTTTTATTGATCTCATGCCAGGTATTTACAATGGTAAATGAGTTTCCAGCTTATAATGTAACAAAAGCAAAAACAAAAAATCTGTTCAAAATAGGAAAAGCAGTTTGGGCTCAGTAAAAAGAAAATGAGGTAGGCAGGATAATTACATGGTGGGAATGTAGCCATGGAAATTAGTATTTAGGAATCAAGGTAAAGGTTGTGGGAAATCTGCATGGATCACAGGGCTGAAGGAATCAAGGAAAGGAGGCAAAAAAAGGAGAAGGACGGAATGCACCTCAGCTGTTTTACATTAACATAAATGTCTCTGCATATTTATACATCGGGAGTTGGTGTCATACAGAATTCACAAGACTGTACGATACATATTTAAATTAGTGTATTCATTCTGCAATCAGGGTGAGAGTTACCATAAAGCTGAGTGATCTCTGAAGCAAAGCAACAAGAATATTTAAAGGCAAAAAAATACACATAACAGAAATATATGAGCTATGCATTCAAATTAATACATTCATTCTGATGGCATGAGAGAAAGCTCCTCACTTATCTCCTGTGTGCCAAAAAGATTGCATCAGAAGGTTCAGAATCAAAACCACTTGGGTTTCTTGAACACTGGGCAAAGAGAGAAATTCTGTGTGGTTTAGTTAATCATGATCAAAGGCACCCAAGAAGCCAGAGTGAAATGAGAGCAGGTGTGATGGGAAGTCAGATGGGCGGAACATTTGGGAGTAAGTTGCTCACCCATGCAAGATGGATCAACATTCTTCCTTAGCAAATAACTTCAGTGCCATGACATAAAGTTAATTTAAACTTGTTTGGGTGAGCTCTTTCTTCTCAGAAGGCAAAGGACTCTATTTTCAGGTGTGTTGGGGATTAGTATTTTAGGATACAACTTATTATTTGATTGGTAAATCAACTCAGATTACCACTCCATAGAAAAATGCTGTCATATTAATGTTACTGTCCCAGGCTATAGGAATTATCTTTCAGTAGTATTTTAGTGAACCTCAAGCTTTATGGAAAAAAGGCAGTACTATTCAAAGAATAATGCACCAATGTTATTATTGATCAACATTATTTTGTAATATGTTATGATTCCCCAGGCAACACAAAAAGCATCTGTCATTGTGGGTATGAGTGCATGAGAGCTCTTGCTAATTTTTATTTCCCATATCAAAGAATTATGCACATGAAATATTCATATTTAGACTCTAATTTCTGTAAATAGAAAACTTCTAATCATGGAATCTGAACATGAAAATATTTTTTGTATGGGTGATTAATGAGGATGAAGTTGCAAGCTTTATGCTTTCATAAGCTATATTACTGGTAATTTCTTCTTTGTTACAAGATCATAAGCCAGGCATGGTAGCTCATGCCTGTAGTCTTGGTGCTTTGTGACGCTGGGGCTGGAGGATTGCTTGAGACCAGGAGTTCAAGACCAGCCTGGACAACATAGCAAGACCCTGTCTTTACAAAAAAATAATTTAAAATAAATAAATAATTATAAACATGAGTATCCTCCTAATGGTGATGGATTTTTGAATGAATGCAATTTTAGAGAACCACTTTAGCTCAATAAATGTGATGATATTGGTGGTGCTTTTAGAGAACCACTTACATGGGCTATCTTATTGGTGGGATGTGGGGAGGTGATTAAATGTTTAAGGCCTAAAACTTATATAGCAGGCTTAATAGTTTTCTTTCTTTGACAACTCTCATCTGGCCTTACTTTTCAGCAGCCATGAACTTCACTGTTCAAGAAAATTAATAGGCATTTTAAAACAAAGTGTTGTTAAATAGAGCAGGGGCATTTATTTAATCTGAGAAATGTAACTGGTTTAAATTTGTGCTGTGAAAGTGCAGCTTCAGCTACTTTAAGATTTTCACTTTTCTACTGAGGTGTTGAGTTTTTGATGACTTCTTTTGCTGTACAGTGTAAAAAAAAATTCTTCTTAGATCTACTATCAGGTCAAAGGCCCGAGCAAAATACTGAGAAAGGGGAAGAGAAGAGAGGAAAGAGAACAGAGAAGAGGAAAGAAAAAGTGATTTTTCAAATCCATAATCCAAACTTCTCTTTCAAGTCATAAAATCATATGGTTTGATACTGGCCCCAAAGACTGGGGCTAACAGTCCTGAGACAGCAACTCAACACCGACCTCATAACATTTGCCAATATGTTAATTAAAAAAATCCAAAGCTATTAATATCAGCTTTGAATCTGAAAGCAGAAAGTCCTAGTCTCTACACCATGACTTATTGTGGTTTCTCAGTTACACTGCTTCTCCTCCATTTTCAAATCAATAGTCTCAACATACACAAACTATTTCTGTATCCCTATTGGGAGGTAGTGAAGATAATTGGGATGCTGACTTTACAGGGTTAGGTGAGCTCTGTTGTGATAAAACTGCAAATTTGTGCTATTTACTTTGACTTTTTAAAAGAAAATTTTAAAACATCTTTCATTTTTCAATAAGTTGGTGTCACGTTTCTGAAAACCTGTAGCTTCTATATCTGGGGATTATAATTTTTTCTTCTATGCCAGACAATGCTCTTATTTCTAGCTGTGTAGCCTTCTTCATTCCTCTTTGAAGACCTGATTCCTTAGATCAGGCATCAATGTGGTGTTGGAGCACAGGAGGGAGAAAGATTGTGTCTGATGGAATCACACAGGCTGAATAGCAAAGCAGACAGCATGAGAAGTATCAAGCAAGGCACATGCTAGGATGGAGAGGTCACCTTTTCTCCCTTTTCTCCTAGATCACCCTTCTCACCCCGTGGACCAGGGAAGCCCTGTAGGATAAAAAAGCAAACCAAAAAGATCTATTGGTGTAAGTGTGGCATAATCATATTAAAAATATTTTAGGATTTCACATTCTAAACTCAAATATAACAAAAAAATGCCATGCCAATCTTAAAACTTAGATAATAAGGTAGCATTTAGAAATAATAGCTTTCTTTTTAAAAAAAAATATTGGTTTTTTTTTGAGTAAGAGTCTTACTCTGTCACCCAGGCTGAAGTACAGTGGCAAGATCACAGCTCACTGCAACCTCGACTTGCTGAGCTCAGGTGATCCTTCCACCTCAGCCTTCCAAGTAGCTGGAACTACAGGCATGTGCCACAACGCCCGGCAAATTTTTTGATTTATGGTAAAGACAAAGTCTAGTCAAGTTGCCCAGGCTGATCTTGGATCCCTGGGCTCAGGCAATCCTCTTGCCTCTGCCTCCCAAAGTGCTGGGATTACAGGCATGAGCCTCAGCGCCCAGCCTAGAGATAATAGTTTCTAATGTCTTATTTACACACAACAGGTTTCTTTCTTTTTTTTCTCCAGATAAATGTAGAGTGAAAAGAACACCAAGATACTATTTTGAATTCTAGCAAGTTCCCTGGTTGTGTGTTGGGCAAATCACTTACCTCTCCATGCTTTAGTCCCTTGACTGTAAAATGGAGCTAATGATATCTACTGGGCAGTTGTTGTGAATGTTAAATGAGATGATGTATACAAAGTATCAGAATGATGGCTGCACATAACAGGTGCTCAATAAACAGTAACTAGTATTCTTTCTGGTATTTTCATTATTCACATAATACAGGATTAGCAGTGATCATTTCTCAGACATTTACTTTTGATAGTCTCTATTTTATGGAATGATGTTAACATAAGATATATGGGAACTTAATGCTAAAATGAAAAATATGTTGCATAACTGCTTTCAGAAAAAGACATATCGTTCCTTAAGGGTAGCATGTGGGAAGTATATTGATTTTATGCATATTGTTTTCATAAGTGGGTCATGCTTCTACGTTAAGATTACCCTTAATTTGGGAAAGAGTTTTGCAGTGCCACTACCCACTATCAGTTATTAATTTTATAACAGATAATTATTTATTTTGCTTTTATGTTTACCTCATGCAGACACTACTGTATTTTATATTGTTGCCAACATGCACAGCAATATATGCTCTATGCATAGCTATATATACAGAAAAAATAGGAAGTATTCTTTCTGTTATGGATGATGGAGACCACCAACGTCTACTATAATAGGAAGATGTTTATTGTATGTATTACTTACATCAAGACCAGGCTCTCCATCTTTCCCCTGCCAAAGAACCATAGTAGCTACATTAGTGTTCCTAAGTTCTTTGAATAAGTTATTATTTGATTTAAAGCTATCTGAACATGCGGCACCAGTGTTAGAACAACTACTTCAGAAATGTGAAAAAGATTCTTTACTGATTAGTAATACAAATTTCTTTAATTAAATCAAGTGATGTGACTGTTAGTGTTGTAGTTAAGAGTCATGAAAATTTTATAGTATTGGGTTAAATAGACTCATGTTCTGCTGAAGTGGAAAGCTTGGAATTAAGTGGAAAGCAAAAATACCATTTAGTTGATTTAAAAACACACCAGCATTAATAGAGGATGTGAATCAATGCTACTTTAATTTCATAACTTAGTAGTAGTAAGCTCATAAATGAGTAAAGAATGTGAAACTGTTTACTGTTAAATGTAGTTTTAATTTGGCCAGATGGTGTACCAAGTGAATAAAGGGTGTGAAGGTGGCAACTTAAAAACTGTTTTTGAGAAAGCCTTGGAAATGAATGATCCCCAAACATACACAGAGTCATAAGGCAAACTTAGGCAAGGATGACAAACTCACTGCCATGGTGCAGACTGTCATGGTGATGTCTCTGTTGTGTCATACTATGGATCTACCCAAAGTTCATGAGAGTCTGCTTTGATTGTCAATTAGATTTCGAAAACTATTTCAAAATATGCTTTTTAAAAATACTGAAGTAATCATGGATTAAGTTTATTATTTCAGTTCTTAAGTGTGTTGAAAGTATGGCAAAGTTAAAAATCTTTCAATGCTATCAATGCTTCTAATGCAGTCCTCAATTATCCTACTGAATCAATTAAAATTTTGCCAAAGATAATTTTTTTGTTTGTTTTGTTTTTGAGTCTGAGTCTCATTCTGTTGGCCAGGCTGGAGGGCAGTGATACCATCACAGTTACAACAGCCTAGACCTGCTAGGCTCAGGCGATCCTTCTATATCAGTCTTTCAGGTGGCTGGGAGTATAGGCGTGTGCCACCATGCCTGCCTAATATTTTTGACTTATTGTAGCAACAAGGTCTCGCCAAGTTGTCCAGGCTGGTCTCGAAGTCCTGGACTCAGACAGCCCTCTTGCCTCATTCTTCCAAAGTGCTGGGATTACAGGCATGAGCCACTGAGCCCGGCATAGATAATGTTTTTGAAGTAAACTTGAGGACTCAATTTGAATTTTGTGTAACTGAGAATTTTCAGAAGATAGAGCACTATCAATATTCTATATTCTGAAGATCATTTGTCATCACGGTATTTCAGAAAAAGTCAGAAACATCATCATCATAAATATCAATTTCATTTGGGAAATATTTTTTACTAGAAAGAGTCATTTTAGCAAATAGCCTATGAGAACAGATAGAGTCATAAGAAGGTCATTTTAAAATTTAAAATTTAAAATTTTATTTTTAGTAATAGAGACAAGGTCTTGCTATATTGCCCAGGCTGCTCTTGAACTCTTGGGCTTAAGCAATCCTCCTGCCTTGGTCTCCCAAAGTGCTGGAATTACAGGCGTGAGCCACCACGCCCGGCCATGAAGAAGGTCAATTTAAATGAAGTCTTCACACACATTTTTGGATACGGTGACCTTCTGAGGAAGTGCCACTTATGACCGTCCAGTCAGATGGCATAAGGAAGACATTATTTGACAGTCAGAATCCTGTTTTCAGGTTAGTACTGTTTATTCCAAAGTCTGTCTCCGACCCATTCAATCTGGTGACGTGCATGGGTGTGAGTTTGCACATGATGAGAAGGCAAGAGACTGAATATGACCTATCTATGACAGACATGGGATTATCAGCATTGTAGGTCATTAGTGGACTGTTGTCTAACATGGTTAGTCTGCCCCACAAGGGAAGGTTTAACTGTGCCAGTGACTGGTCACCCATGCATGCTGAAGGTGGTGACTTGCACGTGACCGTGAACTCACAGGTAGGCCGTAGGGCCCTCTGGGTCCAGGCTCTCCCATAGCTCCTTTTTCACCCTAAAATGGAAAGCAGAAAATTTATGTCATACATACACACCTACATTCACACACTGTCTTATAGCCTGTGTAGAAAGCTTCTATCAAAATCTCAAAGACTCAGGCTTGTACAGGGTCACTGCCAGTGACAGAATGAACATAATCCACGGTAAGTAGCATCTTTTACTAAACTGCCCTTGACAGAGGGGCTGTTAGGAACTGCTGTTGCTTGGCTGTGCAAAAGGATTTGCATATCTTGGATGCAGTTCTTGGGTTTCCTTGGCATTAGTGTGAACCATTTATTTGTTACTAATTATTTTAGGTTAGTACTCTTTCTTTCCCTTCCTTCCTTCCTTCTTCCCTCCCTCCCTCCCCTCGCTTTCTCTCTCTCTCTTCCTCCCTCCCTCCTTCCTTCCCCTCCCTCCCTCCCTCCCTCCCTCCTCTCTTTCTCCCTTTCCCTCTTTCTTCCTTATCTTTCCTTCCTTTCTTTCTTCCTTCCCCTCCCTTCCTCCCCTCTCTTTCTCTCTTCCCCCTCGCTCCCTCCCTCCCTTTCCCTTCCTTCCTCCCTCCCTCCCGCCCTTCTCTTTCTCTCCCGCCTTCCTTCCTTCATTCCTTCTTTCCTTCCTTCCTTCCTTCCTTTTATCCTTCCTTCCTCCCTTCCCCCCTCCCTTCCTTCACTCGCTCTCTTTCTCACTCCCTGGCTCAAGCAATCTTCCCACCTTAGCCTCCTGAGTAGCTGGGACTACAGGCATGCACTGGCACACCTGGTTAATTTTTTAATTTTTTATTTTGAGTAGAGACCAGGTCTTGCTATGCTGCCAAGGCTAGTCTCGAACATCTGGGCTCAAGTGATCCTCCTGCCTCTACCTCCCAAAATGCTGGGATTACAGGCATGAGCCTCCCCACCCCACCTAAGTCAGTACTTTTATTTTTTTGAGTCAGAGTGTCACTCTGTCGCCTAGGCTGGAGTGCAGTGGCACACTCACAGCCACCACAGCCTCGACCTGCTGGGCTCAGGCAGTCCTTCCGACTCAGCCTTCCAGGTAGTTGGAACTACCTATGCATGCCACCATGCCCGGCTAGTTTTTTTATTGTAGAGACAAGGTCTCGCCATGTTGCCCAGGTTAGTCTTGACCTATGGGCTCAGGCAATCCTCTTGCTTCTGCCTTCCAAAGTGGTGGGATTACAGGCGTGAGCCACTGCACCCGGCAGTTAATACTTTTTTTTTTTTTAAAGTAAGACTAAAATGCCTTTTTTTTTCCTGTCAAGCAATTCTTCATAGAGACCCTTCCTTGACTGCCCTCCTCCTTCCTCCAGCTATATTTGACTCCATGGCCCTTATACACTGGGAGACACTGGAAGGCTCTAACCTGCATACTGTCTTCTATCCTCACTAGAATATGCTCATGAGGCTCCCAGGACCTCCAACGTTGCTCCCTATAGCATCCCCGTGGCTTAGAATAGCGTTCGGAACTTCGGTAAATATTTGTTGAATCAAGACAAATCAATACAGTTATGCACATGTGTTGCTTCCTTGCTGAAAAAGAGGGTTTAAAAACGTTTATGCCTTCCACTAACTGCTTGATAAGGTCGGTATATATGACTGTCCTCACTCTTTCTCCAAGTGCCTATTTAAGTAGAATCACTTTCCGCAATCTTAACTGATCATGCTGAATGCTTGTAAAGAATAGGTGTTATTAGAGGTAGTCCTGTGAATAGAAATAATTGTGATAATAAAGAGAGAGAGAGTCTGCATTTCAAATAGTGTTTTCTTCTGCTGCCATCTCCAAATGACAGTGTTTGTCAGTATTTAGTATGAAAACTTCAGGAGTGATGGTAATGTTTACATGAGTAGCCAAACAGAGAATGTTCCTTCTTTGATCATACCCCTGAAGAAGTTTAAAGGTTAGTAAATTTCTTTTCATGGTAAAACAGCAGGTTCAATTGATAAGTATGCCTGCAGTCCCCCTAATATGCTTGTGTTTCTCTGGACTCCAGTGTCCCACATGAGCAAATTTCAGGTCACTGTTCACTTTCATTGGTCTAACTGTAGAGTTGCTGGAACTAGTTAGCATAGAGGCACATATAACATATAGTACAGGTGGGATGACTGAAAATAAATATGATAAAAGCTCATTAAACTCTTAGTCATGATTACTTTATGGTGATTGCTAAAGCAGCAACAATTGCATTCAGTACAGTGGTCAGGCTTTAAATCAAATATTCATATTTGAATTCCAGTTCTGGCTTCTGGTTGTGTGGCAACTTTCTTAAGCTTTCTGTGCCTGAGTTTCATTAGCTGTAAAATAAGACTAGTAATTCATATTATGCAAGAATTGATCTGAATATTAAATGTATATAATGTATGTAAATGTAATGTATTTAATGTATTATAATGTGCTGGGTGCAGTGGCTCATGCCTGTAATCCCAGCATTTTGGGATGCTGAAGTGAGAGGATTGCTTGAGCCCAGGAGTTCAAGACTAGCCTTGGCAACACAGCAAGATACTGTCTCTGGAAAAAAAAATATCCAGGTGTGGTGGTGCACACCCATAGTCCCAGCTACTTGGGAAGCTGAGGCAGAAGGATCACCTGAGCTCAGAAGGTCTAATCAGCAGTGAGCTGTGATCATGCCACTGCACTCCAGCCTAGGCAACAGAGTGAAATGCTCAAAAAAAAAAAAGTAAGTACAGCTTATTAAAAAATGTATGAAATTATATGCTGGCAAATAATATGTGCCATTCACAGTAACAATTATTAGTATCATGCAATTAGAATTTTTATTTTTAATAAAATAAGAGCTTGGCAACCTAAAGAACACTAATTCAAAATCAGTTTCTTTCTGTTTGATTTGGCTATGTTATTTATGATTTATAAAGCAGTTGGGTTTGTGTGTTCATGCCTGGAGGTGTTAAACCCCACCTCCCACCACACACACACACACACACACGTGTGCGCGCGCGTGTTTGTGTGTGTGTGTGTGTGTGTGTGTGTGTGTGTGTGTGGTGGGAGGTGGGGTTTAAAGGAAGGATTCACATAAAATGGAGTGGGTCTAGTTTGAAATAACTCCATAGATTAGGGTAATTCTTTTTGGATAAATTTCCACGGATTATTTTGATATAACCACTTCCTTGTTCTTCCTCTTACTGAGAAACTTGACTTTGTTTTGTTTTTAAAGCAAATATACCATGGTTTATTTGAGTAAAGCTATCACTAATGTAACCATGTAACCAAAAATGATTTGTACAAAAACTAACACTATTGAAATAGATAAGAAGAATAAAATGCAAAGGCAAAAAAAGGAGCTGTCACCAAAACATTTGTCTGTGAAACTGTTCTTCTAGAACAGCCCAGCCCCAATAATTACTTTAAGCTAACAATGACAATTCCAATGACATTCCATTCTCTGTCTAGAGACTGCTTCAGAAATGGACAATGACCCAGTTCTGCAGATGAGGTGTTAGGCCAATCAACTGGGCAGCTCGGGGGAAGGCTTTCTTCCTGCTAAGGAAGAGACATGCAGAGAGTCTCTACTGAGGTCTCATGGGAGGGGGATGCTTGGAATTGCTGTGGCCAGCTTGCCTGTGATCAGAAGGCAAAGACAGCACGTGGAAAAGGGCCTCCAGGCAAAGTCTAGAGTCCTCCTTTGAATATTTTGTTATATAAAACCATTTATTTCTTTATTGTTTAAGTCATTTTGAGTTTGGGCTCTGTCTCTTAGAGACAAAAGCATCCTCATGGTCCCAGGAATGAAATATTAACACACATATTCATTAGAATTGAAATATTTGAGTGAGCAACTTTTCCTGGATTAAGTAATTCCAGAAGTATTTCGGAACCTCTCAAACTTAACACACCATTGAGTTCCAAGGCAGTTATGAGGCTAAATGAGGAAGTCAGCTCAAGGTAGGGAGCCTCAGGTGTCTGACACTGAACAATAATGCTGTCAATCATAAACTTGAACCTTTCTGAGTAACATTGCTTGTCAAACGCATGGTTTCTTTTGGGCTGGTCTCATTTCATTTAGGCTCTTTAATTTGCATGTTAAACTGAGGTATTGTTCTAGAATGCCTCTTTGTTGATTCCCACTTCTTTAAAATTGGAAACTTTTTCAAGGGAGTCCAGATGGTGTCTCCATCAATTAACTGTGAGAATCACACTCCAGTTTAGCACTTTGGGTGAGGGGCACTTGGAGAGTCCTGATATATGATCCAGTTAAGATAGTTAACATGTTGAGTAAATACAAGTGTAACACTTTACGCTGCACACCATTTGACTGAAACTATGCCTTTGAAAATTCTTAGTGATTTCATTTGCTCTTCTGGTTAATTCTGCTCCAGCACTGAGACCTGATACTCTTGTGACACTATGGGGCTATCGGAAGTAGCAGCTGATTTACTAAACGGTAAACCCTCTTGAGCCCCAGGGCTTTCTGCCAAAAGACTGCTTGAGATTTGCTGTTCCATTTTTAGTACATGGGCTGGGTTTCTTTATACAATGCTGGCAAGTGAATCAGCAATGAGACTCTTAGCTTTTAAATATTTTTAATTAAGATGATCTTCAGAAGTCGTTGGTTTGATCTTAGAAACAACACAACTATAGATTCAGGTGTTATGTTCCTTTAGGACTCATCTCTTTCTAGAGATGAAAAGGCTAAATGTCTTTATCATTGTGTATATAGTCTATATTACTTGTATTCACATTGACTTCATTCTCTGGCTATTTCTTGCATGTATTTTTTTCTTTGTAATTTTATACTATAAACTCTTCTAGATCAGGGAAAATAGCTGCTTCTTTTGCAGCAATGGGTATATATTTGTAAGTATTAATAAAAGTATTAATAAAAGACTAAGGAACGATTAGTAAATTATAATAGTATTATTCAGTGCACTGGAGCAAATTAGCAAAATAGGCTTTACCCAAGTGGGAGGAAAATGTTTCTATTTTGCACTAGAAGTAATACCATATTTTGCACATAATAGCATTTGATAAATATGTATTGAATGAATGAAATCATTTTATAGAATACAGAATTACGGACTTGGAAGGCATGTCAAAGAAATCACTGCTGGTTCTCTTTTTTTAAAAGCAAATTATTCCAGACTGATGAAAGTCTATCTAGTTTCAAAAAGGCCACAAACGTGCACAGTGAATCATTCCAACATTTTAAAGCTCTCACTATTAAAATACTTTTTTTATGTCCTATTCTTGATGGTGGGGAAATTGATGACACAATTTCACTCAGGCACACCAAAAGATTTCTGAGCTTTCCAAGGTGAAGAAAAGAGAGAGAGAAAAGGAGAAGAGAGAGAAGTTCCAGACAGATGACCCGCTGCTGATGCTGATGTACATTTTTGTGTGTCAGATATTTATCTTCCATTCTGAATGTCTTTTTTTTTCCCCAAGGATATGGAAACATGGCCCAGCAATAGAAAGGTTAGTGAAAGGTTTTTGTTTTATAATGCAGGAAAATTATTTCCTCATGGTTAAAGAAAAAAAAAAAAGGTTATTCTTCAGCTTAAGAAAGGGGGAGCATGTGTGTGTGGAGGAGAATACTTAGGCTTTGTAATTTCCTTTGGAAGAAAGTTATAACTTACTCTGAGTGAATACAGTAGCTTTATGTAAAAGATTATCAACCAGAATATGTAGTCCTGGAAACTTTAGCCCCACTGACTTCAACTTTCTGGATGAAGGCCAAATGAAAATACCTTCCTTATGAGTTAAGGAAGAATCATCTGAGCTATTTATTTTAGCTATGTAAATGTATGCATTGTTTTTTTTTTTATTAAGGCAGTCATATTCTATTTTATACTCTGTGGTTTTTTTTTCTCAATAGTCCTTAAGATGGCATCTATTTTTATTTAATATTAATTATCTAATATTAGATAACCCTTTATTTCTTCCAGAAAATGAACAGTTCAAGTTCAACTAATATGGAAGAGCCATGCTCTGTGCTTTCTTTAGTACACAGCTTAATAACCTCAGGAGCAACTTACTCTTTCTCCTTTGGGACCTGCAGGGCCATGGGGTCCTATAGGACCATCTGTACCCTAAAAAACAATAAAATTAGATCATATGAGACATATCACAAGGATTGCAAGAATTGCAGTTCTCATTTATCCTGGACCTTTCCTGGGATAGAACACTAGTAAGTCAACTCATCTCCTTTCAGAGTGCTTTATACATGATTCTTTCAGCCTAGTGGTTTTCAAGAGACCCTTGCAAAATGGATGAATTATATACTGCACATTTCAGTGAAGGGTACCCACAAAAAACTGCCTATCACATTTAATTATATTTTTTTCTCTGACCAAATAAAATATCTTCGCTTTGCCCCATAATCTTAAGAAGAATAATGTAATTGATTTTCCTTCCTGTTTCCTCTCCCTCAAGCCCTCTCTCCACTGCCACTTTTGACCAGGCATGCTCTGAAGCTTTATTTCCAGCTGCTGAAGTGGCTTGAAGCATAGGAAACATAGTAAGACGTCACCTCTACAAAAATAAAAATAAAAAATTAGGCAGGCATAGTGGTGTGTGCCTGTAGTCCAGCTACTCAGGAGGCTGAGGTAAAAGGATTGCCTGAGCCCAGGAGGTCAAGGCTGTGGAGAGTTGTGATTGTGTCACTGTACTCCAGCCTAGGCAACAGAGTGAGACCCTGACAAATAAAATAAAATAAATTTAAAAAAAGAAAAGAAAAGAAAAGAAAAAAAGAGGCTTGAGCAGTTATACAATTTGAAAAATAAATAAATAAATAAGAACAATGTTTAACTGTTCAAGCCAAGCTTTTTGTGGCTCTGTTAAGAGCAACAGGGGCTTACAGTGTAGGAATTATTTGTATAGATTCTACTGAAGTCACTAGGCTTACAACTCACAAACCAGGCCGTCAGGATGATTTAATGGTATAAGTGCTTTTTGTCCTCCTGGTTAGTTCAGGATTAGGATTTCTGTGGTAGAGGAGGTAATATTTGAATGAATTAAGAACACTGAGGTCCAGTGAAAATAACAACTGCCCAAAGCAGCTTTTTAGAATTGAAAAACTAGAAATTTCTTTTAGATTCTTCAAAATGTAGCAAGGGCTTTAAGTATATTTGCTCATTTTCAGGAAGATTATGCTTAGATTTACAAAGAATTGATAATATTCTTGTAAATATTATAACACTTATACTACTATAATGTAATATAATATAAAAATTATAATATTTGCAAATGTAGAACTATTCTAGCACGATCTTTCTGTAGTATTCCCATTTCTGTTCCACTATTCTGTTTTATTCTGTTAGAGCCTTGTGGTACGAAAGAATTCAGAGTTTCAAACTCATTCTAATGTTTGTGAATTCTCATCTTAACTGATCTCTTTCTTACTGTCTGATCTCAAAATTCATCTTCAGAACACTTTACAGACTGAGGATCTGTGGCTGAAATGTAAAAGATGGAGTTGTTAGAAACCAAGAAAAGGGACAAAGTGACAGAAGAAAGACAAGTCATTTCTATGAACAGAGATTTGAAAGTTAGTTCCAAGGCAGAAGTTGCATTTCTAAGACAGACATAAACCTAAAAGGAAAAGCAAGTTAAAATGCATTCATGTTATTTTAGTTTCTTCAGAGGGCCTCTCTCACAGAATTTCAGGGAATGTCTATTGGCTTTGGAAAAATTTGTCTAGGATCCTAAGACAATGACGCCAACTAGACTGGCCATTCTTACCACCTAGCAAATTATCCAGAATCAAACAAAGACTTTAGAAAGATGTTCTAGCAGTTTGGCTTTCCTCCAGACAGAACTGCAACCCATCCTTTGTCCACCTGTCCCTCTTCTGTTGCCATTTTTGTTCACATTTTACTTTAACTCTAAGCATCCCCCTCATCATTTGAGGACATGAAGCAAAGAGGTCTATCCTGAAGCACAAGATTCACAGCTACAAAACATGTCAGAGCAAGACCAGGGACTGACTCACCCGGGATCCTGGCTTTCCGTCTAAGCCAGATGCTCCCTTTGTGATTTGGTTGGTAGCAGGGTTGGTGGGTATAACACGAATGACAAGAACAGAGATTAGTATGAGGTACCGATGAACAAATGTAACACTTCAAGCAACATAATAAAATACGCAGTACAGGGTTCTGGGATGATTATCACATTGCTACAAATTGTTAGTTTTTTAAAAAAACAAATCACATGACAATAAACACCCCACAGATAATGGCATTTTAAAGACATTTCTATGTGATTAATTCTTATTTAGAAATCAAGCTAGTGAAGTTTATAAAGTGACCTACAAAGTAGTTAGTTACTCCTATCTCGTGAAATTTGTTTTTCTAAAGACTGTACTATTTACAACACATTTCTTTAGGTTCTGAAGAAAAAATAGTGTTACTCTCCTAAGAAAGGGCTCATTATAATAATCAATCAAATTTAGCATTTCAGAAAAAAAAGTTCTGGTTGTACTTGTTAAAACAGTTGCTATGAATAACAAATGCAGAATTTTAATTTGCCAAGATGGTGGATTTTACATGAACAATACTCATTGTTTTCTGGGTTGTTCCTACCGCTCCCATTAGTCACCACTAGAGGGACTTCTAGGAACAGGAAAAAGTCAGAAAAAAATTTGTGAGATCAAGCAAAAAATAACTCCCAAACTAAATTGTTCCTCAATTCCTTCAAATAATCTTTGCATGAAAGCCTGCATGGGAAATGGCTTAAAAATCTAATGCTGTTCTCAGGCAATGGACGCTTTTTAAAAAAACCTTGAACTCTAGGCTATACATAGTGAATGATTTTTAAAATGGCATTTCCGATGCTTGTTTCAGAAATAAGCACAATTACTTCCTTGATATGGTTTTTGTATCTCAAAATCCAAATACTGATTTATAGTCCTTTAAAATGTTGATTGGATCGAGGAATATTTAAGAAAGAAAATCAACTGGCCCTAAAATTCTCTTGTCAAGATTGCAGAACGATTTCCCAATTTTATGCTTCAGATGCATTTAATAATACAAAATGTAAGCAAAAATCTATTCCAGCTGTAACTCTACCAATGATGCTATACCATATACATTTGAAACATTTTTATTTTTTCATTTTAAAATTCCTTCTGTATAATCCTATTATTATTCATATTATAACTGCAAAAGGCATCTTTAGATAGCAATTATAACAATAAAAGATGTGTCCTGCTGATTGTTTGTTCAATGTTAGCATAGGTAGAACTTTTAGCTAAATGTTGCATAAAAATTATCAGTGGTCCTAAATTGGAAATTAGGAAAAAATTTAAAGAAATCAGATTGAAAATTTAAGTAAAACAGATAATCCAAACTTTATTTTGTCTTTTGATACTTTCTTTGGGCAACATTAGTATAACATTGGAAAATAAATTGGAGAATGGTAAAAAAATTTATATTAGTAATATTATATCTACCTAAAGTGCCAAATTAATGACTCACATATAGAGGTTTTATGCCTGAGGCCCTTTGATCTAATTGGTGTGATTTAACCTATTTTCTAATAACAAGGTATATATTATAATTTAATAAACAAACGCATGGTAAACATTTACTATGCGCCTGATCTACATAAGTCACTTGTATTAAGTGAAACACATTAGTACTTAAAAGTACAGTTCCCATGGGGCAATAATGAAATAAGTGGCCATCAACTTTTTTTCTGTCACATCTCAAATATATCTGTAGACTATTTTCTATTACTGATTTTATGTCATACTTTACTAGTGTAATCCATATTGTTTTTAATTAACTTTTATTTGCATTCGCTAAATAGGTTACATATTTAAAACTTGAAACTAAAGCCTCATATTCAATAGTAATTTTTTAAAAATTTCTTTTTGCCATGGAAAATAGATTGTTGGCATAAAGTGCATGAATGGGGGAGAATATCTTTTTCAGTGAGACTCCAACTCAAAAAAAAAAACAACAAACCTCTCCATAACTGCTAACTACTTCTATACTAGCTACTATTGCCACATGAATATCATAACAGGGAATTTTTTTAAAACAAACAACATAAAACATGTAGAACACAATATGATTGATTAATGTAAGGAGCCACAGATGGACCTCACGCCATCAACAATGGCCAATTGCATACCTGCCACCAACACAGGACTACAGTCTTTGGTATCCAAAGAGAAAGAAAAAAAAAATTGAGGGAGGATTTTAAGCTACACTAAATTATTTTAAAAAGCCATTTGGAAGAACTTTTGAAATAATGAGCACAATACTTTTTAAAGAGAAGTATGATGGGAGAACTGTCATCCCTAAAAAAGGAAGGTTGGCATGTATGTAATTAAAGAATGACAGAACATTTATGGCATTATTTGTTATGGGGTCTTCCTTGACACAAAAGCATACATCAGAGAAAACAAAACTGAACTGAGCTCTACTCTAATGTAATATGTTTTCTTATTACAGAAATCTCAACAGTAAGATAGCTGCTGAGTAAACCAGAGCTGTTACTTAGGGTAGAAAGACAAATCTGAGATTTGCACTGAAATGGAAAGTGTTCTTTACTTACTGGAAGACCAAGGGGTCCTCTGTCACCCTTTTGACCTGGTTCACCCTTCAATCCTTTAACACCATTTAACCCTGGTTCACCCTAAACGCAAAAGCAAATGCCAATTTTGGTTGCTATTATGGGTGTTTAAACTGCGAGAGAAGAAAGCCAATCTCTGAAAAAGTTGCAGATTCCAGTTTTAGTTAACAGCAGAGTCAGGCTAGATTTGTCTTGCATCAGCTCAGACATTAATTTAAAAAACAAAAATAGTGACTAAACTGAAATGAACAAGTCACATTCTAGAAAGCAAAACTCCCAAGAAAGTGTGCCCCTTACGATCAAAACACGTGTGACTGAATTCCTGAATGTTTAGTGCTATCTCCAGGAAATTAGTGTTATACTACATAGTAATGATTAAGTAAATCAAAGACAATCTGAATAGAGGATGCTGAAGAAGGTTCACGTAGGAAAAACCCACTCTGCTGGAATGGAAAAACTGGAATATACAGGACAGTGTTATAGACAGACATTAAGCCTTTAAGCATTTTGCCCAAGGGAATGAGCTAAAAATGTAGCAGCTGATGTCTGAAGTAATGCCATTTAACAAGTCCTTATTCTTAGCAAGTCCTTATTCTAAGGAATTGGACTTGACATTGCCAAGCCAGATCCCTACATGGATTAATCAACAAATTGCCAATCCCAGGAGGGAATATATGAAGATCAAAGAACTTAAACGTAATTTTACTCACTGTTCATCTGCCCAATGTTAGAGCAAAGAAGGTGTGAGTTTAATGATAAACTTATTTAATGATAAATTCTTTTGGCTTTTTTTTTAAATAAAGGAATACAGTATACCTATTCTCCACCACTAATAGCATGTTAGAAATAAAGTTTTGACTGTGTACTTCTCAATTTTTAAGTATAGATATTAATTTCTCAAGAAAATCTTGAAGGACTTGTGAAAGAAAGATGATTTCAGACTCAAATGTCCTATAAAGTTTTGCTGGGTGGGGGCTGGAAGGGGGAGAGGAGGTAACAATGACATGGCGGAAGATATCTTTAATCTGGGCAGTATTTACTCAATTTGCCAGATGATAAAAATCAGTGTGGTGCTTGTTAAACATATAGAGTCCAGAACTGCATTCCTATAGTAGCACAGGAATGAGTATCTTTAATAAGTTTCCCAGGTAATTCTCCTTATCAGAAGATTCTGAGAAACACTGAGCTAGATTCATCCATGAAATCACGGTCTACATTTAAACTTTCAAGAGGGTCACAAGTAATGAACACACTGGCACAACACAGTGAATGTTTAGGATTTTGAAGAGAAGATGTTCTCAGCAAAGACACTACAGAAAATCCAAATATGCTATTGTCTGTGAGGGAAGATCCTGGCAATGCCAGCGAGTCGGAGTAAAATGATACTAAGGCCAAGTCTTAATAATCACCTTCAGTTGACATGTCTAAACTGGAGATCCATGGCTTTGCATGTGTGTGCACTTTTAGTAAGTGGTCTTGAGATGATGAACAGGCAGGGTGGCTTTGACAGGCTTTGAGATTCTTTGGTGAGGAATCATGCATGGATGGGAGTGGGCATTAATTGGGAAGGCTCCTTTGAAACCCTTAAATCGAGTGGCGAAAAGACCAAATCTCAAGCCTGGATGGAAATTCTAGTCTCAGATCTGTCACTATCTGTGTAATATGGGGCAAATCACCTAAACTTTCTGGGCCTGTAGTTTACCATCTAGAAAATAAAGGAACTACCATAGATAGTTTAAGAGGTCTTTCAACTTTAAAGTTCTCTAAATTTTGTGAATTAAGTCACAATGGAAGTTGTATGAAAAAAATAAATTGTTGCATCATAGAAATCAAAAGTATCCTGGGTATCTCTTAATTCCATTGTGAAGGACATCTGAATCAATCATGGAATTAAAAACAATCTTGTTTGCTTTATCTAGTCGTTATGCTTAGGCTGATCTTTAGTGACATCTTAAAATCCAAGGAGAACCCAAGCGTGGGACATGTCAATTTAGTACAGAGTGGGGGAAAAAATGCCCGGAGAAGTTAAATACCTAACAAGATGACAAAGCAATAGATGTCTCTTCTGACCTCCAGAACAGAATTCTCACCCCAAAGTGTAATCTATGCTTCTGGGACACTATCACTCACTGACCTTACCAGAAGATAAATGTATTCTAAAAAGAATGAAGAGGCAGGAGCTCCTTCCATTTGGGGGTGTCGCCTGTCTGACTGGAAAAAGAACATTCATATTTCCTGAGTTAGACCAATATCTGCTGCCACCCTTATAGTTGAGTGGGTCAGAGAGAGCCAGTCTCTACAGAGGAAGAGTGAACTGCTCCAGGCTTTGACACTTAGTGCTGACATTGCATTTGTGTGTCTCCTCATCCACCACCTTTCAGGAGTCCATGAGCCTTCTTTCAAGCAGCCTTGAGGATGAGCTATAGAATTTTTTTGTTCAGAACAGAACATCACATAGTAACAATGACAACTGACTTTTATTGGGTATTTATTAACACTGCACCAGATATGTTGCTAAGTGTTTTACAGTTATACTTCATTAAATTGTCACAACACTATGAGGTAAGTTAGCCAGTTGAATAAATAAAGGATCACAGAAGGTCAATAATCTGCTCCAGGTGATATGACTTCTCAGTGGCAAAGCTAAGATTAGGACACAGGTCCTCATCACATATGCTTTCTGGAAGGAGGAGCTTGTCTTTCAGGGTTAATTTTAATCCTGTCTACACACAAAGGCAAAGAACAGGTGAAGATTAACTTCATAATGCAAGCTACACTAATTCTGACAGAAAAGACTATTCTCTTTTTAACCCAAAGAATGTGGAGTACAAGTAAGTGAAGAGATCATCTCCCCAATATAGTACACCTGATGTATCCCACTCTATTCTATACCAGTGACTTCAGGGGGAGTACAAAATTAAGATGCTACATAGTCAAAGCATTTAGATGCACTACTACTATATGGCAAGCAAGTATTATTAATTAGTAACAACCAAAAATACAACTAGAGACAATGTTTTTAAAAAAGCATCTAGGCTAGTCTGAGAATCTCATAAGATTTGCCGCTAAATGGCTGACTTGACTATATTATGATCAGTAATTTAAGAAGTTTACATTGTGACAAGGAAAAAGGCAAAATGAAGACTAATTTATCTCCAGGTGATATCGCTTACATTTGTTCTAAGTCATTTGTGTTATGAGATTTTTAACACCTGGATGCTTAAAGACTTAAAGATTATCAACATTACTTGACAAATAAATAACACAGGACAGGCATGCTTCCATCATGCTTCTCCATGATTATCAAGGAAACAGAAATCAAACAATCAAGGGATTTGTTGGATTACCTTTGGTCCAGGAAGTCCGTGGGGTCCCTGAAAATGGAAAACAGAGCTTTTAATTAAGAATTGATTCATTGTTTCCCTGTAGAAGTGAATATTATATCAAGCAACAAAAGAGATGTAAAACAAGATCTTCTTGTTTGAGCTATGGCTAGAAGTAAGCCAGTGGATATTATTTATTACCTACCTAAAGTTCCTTCCAGTTCTTGGATTGCACTGTAATAAATTCATTAATAGCATTTCTGTCTGCTAAAAACCTTTGAGAAGGAGAGTGATGCCTGCCAGGGTTATATGAGAGAAAAAAGTAGGAAAAAGAAGAATTTTGAACTCACATTACTCCTATTTCTCAAATTCCCACTTAAAAAAAATCTGGACAGAATATGTGAGATGCTTCATGAATTTATTTAATTTCATTTTTTTTTTTGAGTCAGAGTCTCACTCTGTTGTCCAGGCTGGAGGGCAATGGCATGCTTACAGTCACTGCAGCCTAGACCTGATGGGCTCAGGTGATCTTTCTGCCTCAGCCTTTCATTGCTAATGCAATGTTAGCACTAAGTAGCTGGAACTATAGGTGCGCACCACCACACCTGGTTAATTTTTTGATTTATTATAGAGAGAAGATCTTGCCATATTGCCCAAGCTGGTCTTGAACCCCTGGTCTCAGACAATTCTTTTGTCTCTGCTTCCAAAGTAGAAGTAGCTGGGATTACAGGCATGAACTGCTTCCTAAATTTAAATAGAACAGGGATAGAACTTAAAAGACAGAAATTTGCCAAAGAGAAGTCCCAGACTTTAAGTACCAAGGAAGAAGAGAGCTTTTTCATTCACTTCTCAAAACCTAAGGTATTGAAGGTCCAAGGAAGACAAAAGTAAGGAAATAGCAGCCAAGTTTGGGACTCTGAAACTTCATTTATCTATCTTCAGATTAAAAAAAGATTCTAACACAGGAAACCTAAGCATCATTATTTAGGATGCATTTATTTTTAAGATACAAATTATTCAAGGCACTTTGATAAAAAGAAAGTCATAATGCCTACAGGAATCATTATCAAAAAGATGCATTTTTGTAGGAAATCCAAATATAGAGATTAATTAGTCATCTTAAATGAACTAAGATCATTATGGATTGCTTTAAATTTTTCAAGTTATTTAAATAAACTATTTGGAGAGAGAAGTATTTAAATATCCTTCAGTGAAATCATACAAAAGCAAGGAAAAGTTTTGTTTTGTTTTTAAATTGAGCAGTACCTAGGTATTTGTTACATATGTCTATATTAGAATAATATTTTCCCTTTAGATAGGTTTGGATAAACATTTTCAGGAAATGGTTGTTACTGTATCAGGTATTCTTATCTCTTTTTTTTTTTTTTGAGTTGGAGTCTCACTCTGTCGCCCAAACTGGAGTGCAGTGGCCACTCCTGGTCACCGCAGCCTCGACCTGCTGGGCTCCGGCGA